TATGTGTCGACCGAAATAAAATGAAATGCTTGAATATACATACATATACTCTTTTCACATATTTATCGGGAAGCTGTTTTTAACCTTTACAAGGGGTATTAATAAAACTAAGTTCATTAAAATGATACCATGGTATGAAAAGAATGAAAAAATGTAAACGTGTGAGTGTGTGTGTGCAAGAACAGCAGGTTATCATCATCATCAACATGACCTTCTTCTACGAATGATGCCAAAGCATTGGGAAACATTTCAATTTGTGTTAGAATTTTGATTTATGTGGCAACCTGTATTATTTGTGGTCAAACATTGGAAATCATTCAAATAATTGGAATGTTTGCGTTTGACAGTATTTATTTTGAATAAATCATCATATATTTTTATAATAACAGTCTCATTTGACTTGTAGGCGGGATATTATCGTTTATTTGATTGTTAGCAATATTTTGGGAAATAAATTCCATTTCTTAGAAGATGTGGGGACTGGACTATGAAATGTAACTGGGAGCTCGTTAGTGCCATGCATGTTATATTTTGAGGTAAATTTTCCTTATCTCAACTGGATTTGAATCAATTTTGGCATTAAAAACTACTTACAAAACGACATCCTTACCCCTTTTTATGACATGGGCATGTCACAGGAAGTGAATATTTACCAAAGACCACCAAGAGCCAACAAATAACCTAAAAAAACAGTAAGGAACTGTCAAAAGTCGGGCGGGGCCGTCTATACGATACCCTACACCACTAGTCATATTTAGTGGAGCTCCCGTAACAAAAGAATTTATTTCAAGTAGATCATACCACCTATCAACATTTGCATGATATCATTTGGAGAAGGATTATATTAAAAAAATATATATCGGAGCCGAGTTCCACAAAATGGAAACTTACGGCCCGAAATTATCTCCATTTGGACTGATATCAGCCAAATAATGACACAATAAACCTGAAATAGGATTAAGGGTATATAAGGGAGCTATATCAAAATCGGAGCCGATCTCGATAAAGTTTGGCAAATGTATTTTCGAGCTCTATAAGATATCTGGTACCAAATATCATTGCTGTCGAATGCATACTACGAATGTGAGGGACTTAAACACCAAATCGGACAAAACATTCTGAACCGATTTTCACCAAATTTCATGTTCTTGCTTCTTGACTGAATTCGGTCGGATGTACCAAAATTCAGGACTGATATTGGCCATTCGGTGAACAATTAACCCGAAATCGGTTAAAGATATATGTGGGAGCTATATCCAAATCTGAGTCGATCTTTATAAAATGTGGCAGAGGTATTTCTGGACAAATATCATTGTTGTCGAATGCATATTACGAATGTGTGGGACAAAATACAGTTCGCAGTTATTATCCGGTTGAGATGAAATTTATTTGTTTGGCCCCAAGACGAACCCTATTGACATTGGTGATCACATTCATCACATCACTTTTAGATATAGCCCCCATATATCTTCGACCCATTTTGGGTTAATGGCCTGCATTTTAGCATATTCAACAGAATTCTAGAAGTCCAGAACAAGTCGAGAAACATGTTCATTAAATTTGGTGAAAATCGGTTCATATATAGCTATAGCTCCCATGTATATGTTTCATTCGATTTTGGGTTTCAAGTCCCTTACATACGTAATATGCACTCCACAAGAATGATATTTTTTCTACCGGATAACAGATACTGTCCGAAAATACCTTTGTCAAATTTTATCGAGATTGGTTTAGATTAGGATATAGCTCCCATATATATATTCAACCAAATTCGGGATAATTGGGCAACAAATGTCCAATATCAGTCCAAATGACCTGAATTTTGGCATATCCGACCGAATTCAGTCTAGAAGCAAGTACATCAAATTTGTTGAAAATCGATTCGGAATTGGATGTGCCTCCCATATATTAGTTCTCTCTGAAACCAAATTATATCCGCCCTGGAGCTATAGGTTGATAGGTGGTATGTTCTACTTCAAATAAATTCGTTTGTTACGGGAGCTCTACTAAATATGCATAGTGGTGTAGGGTATCATATATTAGGCCCCGTGCGAATTTTGATTTTTCCTTACTGTTTGGTATAACTCCCATGTAAAGTAAACCCCGACTCCAAGCATTTTTTTACTGTTTAGTTATATTTTCCAATTTATTTACCTATAATCGGAAAACTGGTCAAAAATTCAGAAAGAACCTTTACTATACTTTAAAATGTCGAAGATGGATTATAGAACTGTGAACCACATCAAAATATGAACCTGTTGTTTCGAATTCCATTTGGGGAGTCCACTTTGAGATATAACTATATGGAAAGTTCAGAAAATTCGGATACTCCACCTAAAGGAGTGGACCTAAATGTCTATTAGAACTATGTCTAACAGAAATATTAAGACACGAAATTTGATGAAAATCTCTAGCTCGTTTCGCATGTTATTAGAATTCAAAACCACCTCCGAACTCGATCTAAGTTTGATAATAATTTTGTGGAGAATTTTCCAGAAAAAAAGTTATTCGAAATGGAATTCGAGCGAGATAGTGTGATTTCCTATTATTTGGCTGGAAAACAACAAGTGGCTTTTGATAGAGCACTCCAGCATTTAAATGTGAATAAATCTTTTGTGTCTCGTACCGTCGCTCGTTACCATGATACTGGTAGTGTAGCCCGACGACAAGGAAGTGGACGGAAGAAAACAGCAACATTAGCAGAAATGGTTCGAAAATAAAAAGCGACTTGATCGAAACCCACGTCGCAGTGGCCGAAAAATGGCTCGTGAGCTGAACATATCGCAATATTCCATTCGGCAAATATTGAAAAATGATCTCGGGTTAAAGCCATTGAAATTCCAAAAAGTGCAAGAACTTACACCGCAACAGAAAGAAAATAGACTCAAAAGAGCTAAAGAGGTGCTTCGCTTGGCCGAAAGTGGTGAACTGCCGATGATCGTGTTTACTTGCCAAAGAGGTCTGCTGAAAATGTGCACCTTCTGTTGGCCACCAGAACTCAAGAGCCGGTCATGGCGATGGTGTGGGCCGCCATAACAGCCGATGGTCGCTCTTCGCTTGTATCAATCGACCGTGCAATCAGAATAAATGCGGAATATTATCGCGAAAATATTCTGGAGAGTGCCTTGGGCACGGTATTAAAGCCTTGGACATTCCAACAGGACTCAGCACGATCGCACTCAGCACGCGCCACCCAAGAATGGTTGCAAAATAAGCTTCCTCACTTCATTTCCAGCGCGCAATGGCCACCAATATCTCCGGATACCAATCCGTTGGACTATTGTGTCTGGAGTATTTTGGAAAGCAAGATTGGCACTAAAAACTACAAAATTGCTGATCACCTCAAGCAAGAGATTCGCCGGGAATGGGCCAAAATACCGCACAGCAACATTCGGGCAGCGTGTGACGGTTTCTTTGGCCGTTTGAATGCCATAATTCGTGCCAAAGGTGACCAATTCGAACAAATCTAAACTTATTCTAAAATTTGATGCTATTTCCGACATTTTTATACCCTCCACATACTATGGAGGGTATATTAATTTTGTCATTCTGTTTGTAACTCCTCGAAATAGTCGTGTCAGACCCAACAAAGTATATATATTCTTGATCAGCGCAAAATTCTGAGACGATTTAGCCATGTCCGTCTGACTGTCTGTCTGTCTGTCTGTCCGTTTGTCTGTTGTAATCACGCTATCTTTCGAACAAATTGAGATAGAAGGCTAAATATTTGCAGACATGTATATTTTGCCAGTAGGCAGGTTAAGTTCGTAAATGGGCCATGTAGGTCCAAGTTATCATATAGCCCCATTTGAAGTGCGTAATGGATACTACAGCCTAAGACAGAAAATTGTCTGTGAAGGTCCACGTCTTCGTATAGCCCCCATATAACGATACCCCCCGATATTCGATATTTTGATGATTTTAGCGACATTATTTACCGGAATCTTTTCAAATTTGGTGTTTGAAGTTCGTAATGGATACTACATCCTAAGTCATAAAATGAGCCATGTAGGTCCACGTCTTCATATAGCCCCCATATAACGGAACCCCCCGATATTCGGTATTTTTATGATTTTAGCGACATTATTTAACGGAATCATTCCAAATTTGGTATTTGAAGTTCGTAATAGATACTGCAGCATAAAACAGAAAATGGACCATGTAGGTCTACACCTTCGTACAGCCCCCATATACCGTACCCCCCGATATTCGGTATTTTGATGATTTTAGCGACATTATTTACCGGGATTGTTTCAAATTTCGCATGTGAAGTTCGTAATGGATATTTCAGCTCATGCCAGAAAATTGTCTGTGCAGGTTCACGTCTTCGTATAGCCCCCATATAACGGTACCCCCTATATTCGGTATTTTGATGATTTAAGCTACATTATAAACAGATTTTTCTTCAAGTTTCGCATTTAAATATTGTGATAACTTATGACAAAAGTTGCCTATGCAGGTCCACGTCGTCGTATAGGCATTCGGTACTTTTAATATTTTAACAGAGTTTTTAACAGATTTAATTTTTTGGAAATTGCCAAATTTGTACCAAGTGGTGGAGGGTATTAAAAGTTCGGTCTGGCCGAACTTACAGCTTTTTACTTGTTTGCTTTTATTCTATGAAATTTAAAAAAAATGTTAAAATTATGGAATTTGACTTTGTTGTCGTTTTTTTTATCTCACCCTGTATATGGGAGCTATGTTTAAATGTTGACCGATTATCTCCAATTTAAATAGGATTCGTCCTTGGGCCAAACAAATGATTAATGCAACTTTACATTTTGATGGGGTCATAGATGCGACCTGTACTTTGTTTACAACAATATATGGACCGAAGGAGGGCGGATATTCATAAAAGTATAACTTTAAAAATATAAGTTCATTGATTTTTTAATTTTGGCACAGTTGGAATCATACCGACATATACAAGCTACGATATGAAAAAAAATGTGGCCATGGTACCTAATTGGTGTGAATATATGATTTTTGCATTAACTTACCTCATATGAACCAGCTGTGTCAAGAATATCCAGCGTGAGACTGACACCGGCTATGGAGAAGTTACCCTGATGCATCTCTTCGATGGTCCTCTTGTATTTGGCCGTAAATGTGTTGTAAAGGAATTGTGTAATTATTGAGGTTTTGCCGACTTTAGCAGCGCCCATGACAACGATTTTGTGACGGGCATTTGTCGGGCCGATGGCATCGTCCACAGCATTATTCCGGCCAACTCTGGAAAACATGAGAACAAAATAAAGTTTGAATACAAATTGTTGTGAATGGTTTTTGGTTTTTTTTTTTTATAAAAGGGTGTAGTGGAAATGTTGAGAATGATATATTTTATATTTTAGAGGATGATTCGATTTAAGGATATACGATCCATCATAGTATAGATGGTATATTAAGTTTGTCATTCCGTTGGTAACACCTCGAAATATACATTTTAGACCCCACAAAGTGTATATATTCTTGATCAGCATAAAATTCTATGTCGATTTAGCAATGTCCGTCCGTCTATCCTTCTGTGGAAATCACTCTAGCTTCCGAACGAAATGAAGTAGGTTGATAAAATTTCACTCAAATGTGTATTATGTCGCAGGACTTTTGGTATTGAAAATGGGCCATGTAGGTTCACGTCTTCGTATAGCTCCGTATATTCGGTTATTTTGATGATTTTAGCGACATTATTAGCCGGAATCGTTTCAAATTTGGTATTTGAGATTCGTAATGGATGCTACAGCCTATGACAGAAAATTGTCTGTGCAGGTCCACGTCTTCGCATAGCCCCCATATAACGGTACCCCCCGATATTCGGTATTTTGATGATTTTAGCGACATTATTTACCGGAATTATTTCAAATTTGGTATTTGAAGTTCGTAACAGATACTGCAGCATAAAACAGAAAATGGGCCATGTAGGTCCACGTCTTCGTATAGCCCCCATATAACGGTACCCCCCCTTTATGCGGTATTTTTAAGATTTTTGCGACATTATTTATTTGAAGTTCGTAATGGATACTACAGGCTATGCCAGAAAATTGTCTTTGCAGGTCCACGTCTTCGTATAGCCCCCATATAACGCTACCCCCGATATTCGGTATTTTGATGATTTTAACGACATTATTTACCGGAACTATTTCAAATTTGGTATTTGAAGTTCGTAATAAATACTACAGCCTATGACAGAAAAGTGTCGGTTGCGGGTCCACATCTTCGTATATCCCCCATATAACGGTACCTCCCGATATTCAATATTTTGACGATTTTAGCAATATAATTCACCGGAATTGTTTCAAATTTGGTATTTGAAGTTCGTAATGGATACTGCAGTTTATGACAGAAAATTGTTTGTGCAGGTCTACGTCTTCGTATAGCACCCATATAACGGATCCACCGATATTCGGTATTTTGACGATTTTAGCGACATTATTTACCCAATTATTTCACATTTTGTATTTGATGTTCGCAATGGATTCTACAGCCTATGCTAGAAAATTGTCTATGCAGGTCCACTTTTTATAACCCCCATGGTACCTCACTATATTCGGTATTTTGATGATTTTAGTGACATTATTTGCCGGAACTATTTCACATTTGGTATTTGAAGTTCGTAATGAATACTACAGCCTATGAAAGAAAATTGCCTGTGCGAGTCCACGTCTTCGTATGGCCCCCATATAACGGAACTCCCTATATTCGGTATTTTGATGATTTTAGCGACATTATTTTTTTTTTTCAAGTTTCGTATTTGAGTATCGCAATAGCTTGTGACAAAAGTTGCCTATGCAGGTCCACGTCGTCGTATAGACCCTAAAAAACGGCTATATTCGGTATTTTTAAGATTTTAACAGAATTTTTAACGGATTTTATTTTTTTGAAAGTTGCCAAATTTGTGCCAAATGGTGGAGGGTATTCAAAGTTCGTCCCGGGCGAACTTTCAGCTTTTTACTTATTTTTTTTTACTGGATGATGTTAGACATGACAGGGACATATTGTCGAGATCTAATTGACTTGGAGCGAAATCGGTCTAAGTCTCAGACAACAACGCCAATGGGACACTGTTTTTATTGTTTGGAATCGGATCCAATTTTTAAGACCATATGATCGGTCGACGAAATCTTTCCGAAGAATTATAAATCTTTTCAATCTCTCTATTACCCACACATACCACACTGCACAAAGATATCCAAAAAAGCCAGCTAGCTGCTGGCTGTCTAGTCACATCATCTGCTACATATGTCTGTATGCATGCATGTTTCCCGTCCATAATAGAGATTGATGTTCACTTGGATGAATGTCCTCCCGAGTTACATGTAAATGTGGGTGATGACATAATAACTACCAAAGAGTAGCTAAACAGCGAGAGAGGAGATAGAATGAGAGATTCACTTCGGTAACTGCAACCTTGATGCATTGGCAACAGCTGTTCGTTCAATGGGTTCGCCGAGGTGTGCATCGTTGAGCGTTGAGCTGTGGTATGGTGCAGTGCGGTGTTGTGTGGTTCGGTGTTGTTGAATGGTTCCATAATGGATTTAGATTGTTTTCACTTTGTCGGTTGGTTGTACGTTGTCGTTCTCAGACAGAGGAGATGTTGTTGTTTGGTTTTAGCTGGCGGTAACTGTGGCATGTTGTTGCCTCTTCCCCATGCCATACAAAACAAATTCAATTATAATTGTTGTCATCGTCGTAGATACATGTGTCTGTATGTCTGTATGTGTGTTAGTGGGTGTGTGCGTATTTAGTTCTGTTGGGTGGTTAAATAAATTTATAATAAAATAAAACTAGTCGGAGAGTGGGAGGGTGGGACAGATGTACAAGAACAAGTTTAACCCCAAATGTGGTTTGTGCCATTTGCTTTGGTTTTGAATCACCACCTAACTGGATTATCGAAGAGAATTAGTTATGGTCGTTGATGATTGCATTAGATGGCAGAATTTTCTTTCACTCGGAATGGTTATCGAATAGTAGTTTCTCGTTTGAAATCAAATTATAAGGAAAGGGAAAATTTAGCAGAACTAGAAATGTTTTAATAAAAATTTATATTTTCTTGAAAACCTTGAAAATTTAAGGGATTCTATATAACGATTGCCCGATATTATCAAATTTTTGCAAAACGCTATATTTGTCAGATTTGAAAATTGACCTAAACTATTTTTCTCGTACCTCCCCCACAAAAAATGAAAATTTTTAGTTACGAAAATCGACATATGGTGACAGCAATTTATTTGGATCAACGCAAAATTCTAAGAATATTTAGCCCTCTCTGTTAGTCTGTCTCTTGCAATCACTCCATTTTCCGATTGAATTAAGAAACATATTCTTTGGTGTGAAGGGTTTAATTATCTCCTACCGATGTTTACAGTGATTATTTGAGTACCAATCTATGATCGGTATTTAAATGACTTTATCGATTGTGTTTGATGAAAATCGTTTCAGGACATTCTACCTAGTCATAACCATCGGCCTTGCCGTCTGGTGTGGTGGTATATGGTGCATCGTAATATTTTTACTAAACTAAGGCCAAACGTTCTGATCTAAATAACGGTTTTAGACTCAGGTCTTTTTGGAAGACATTTAGAGTCGATCTAACGAAGTACGTCTGTCTCAATATTTTCATTAACACAAGATCTGGTGTGAAGATGATAGATATCGGCCCACCCCTCCTGCTACCTCCCTAGGAATAACAAGTACAAAAAAGCTGTATACCCTCCACCATTTGGAACGAATTTGGCAATTCTATAAACAAATAAAATCCGTTAAAACTTCTGTTAAAATCTTAAAAATACCGAATGTAGCTTTTATATTAGGGTCTATACGACGACATGAACCTGCGTAGGTAACATTTGTCATAAGCCATTACAATATTCAAATGCGAAACTTAAAAAAATCGGTTATAATGTCAATAAAATCAAAATACCGAATATCAGGAGAGGTACCGTTATATGGGGGCTATACGAAGACGTGGATCTGCACAGACAATTTTCTGTCGTAGGCTGTAGTATCCATTACGAACTTCAAATATCAAATTTGAAACAATTCTGGTGAAAATTTTCCCTAAAATCATTAAAATACCGAATATCGGGATGTACCGTTATATGGGGGCTCTACGAAGAGGAGAACCAGAACAGACAATTTTCTGTCTTAGGCTGTAGTATCCATTATGAACTTCAAATACAAAATTTGAAACAATTCCGGTGAATAAATTCGCTAAAATCATCAAAATACCGAATATCGGGAGGTACCGCTCCACGAAGACGTGGACCTGCACAGACAATTTTTTGCCTCAGGCTGTAGTATCCATTATGAACTTCAAATACCAAATTTGAAACAATTCCGGTAAATAAATTCGCTAAAATCATCAAAATACCGAATATCGGGAGGTACCGTTATATGGGGGCTATATGAAGACGTAGACCTGTACAGACAATTTTCTGTCTTAGGCTGTAATTTCCATTACGAACTTCAAATACCAAATGTGAAACTATTCCGGTGAATAATGTCGCTAAAATCATAAAAAACCGAATATCGGGAAGTACCGTTATATGGGGGCTACACCAAAATACCAAAAGTCCTTCAGATATAACATACATTTGAGCAAAATTTTATCAATCTACTTCAATTCGTTCGGAAGCTAGAGTGATTTCCACAGAAGAACAGACGGATAGACGGACGGACATCGCTAAATCGACATTGAATTTTATGCTGATCTAGAATAAATATACTTTGTGGGGTCTAAAATGTGTATTTCGAGATGTTACAAACGGAATGACAAACTTAATATACCCTCCATACTATGGTCGTGGGTATAAAAAACGCTCATAAAATGTAAAAAAAACATCCGATTCTCTTTCACGAATTTCACACATTCCAATATTTCCTCTAAACGAAGATCTGGGGCAAAGATGGGATGTATCGGTCCATTCTTTCCAGTAGCTTTTCCCCAAAGTAGTAAACAATTTTGAAAAACTATATCTCTCATAAATTGCGTAATAAGCATCTGATTTCTTCTAAAAATGACTTTGTGCATTTGTTTATAACATGGAGAAGCAAGCGAGATGGGCCCATATATACTTATGAGGATCTTCATAGAATCACTTTCTGAGTCGATTTATACATGCCAGTCCGTCTGTCCGTCCGCCTGTCCATGTATTCTTGTGAACAAAATGTAGGTCGTATTTATTATCCAATTAAGATGAAATTTCCCAAACAATATTTGTTTGGCCCAAGGACGA